TTTCCACCTATTACACTGCTAGTTTATTCTAAAATGCAATTCTTCTAATATTTCGTAGTGAAATTTAAAAAACCTGATCTAAGGAGTGATTAGGAACCAAAAATACCATTCCTACCACTGTCACGTAAGTGGGGGTGGATGAGTTGAGAGAGAGGGTCGGGAAAACAGACCAAACTGATTTATATTGGTTGCACATTTAGGAATAGTGGTAGTCAGTAGAGAGAATTATACTCCTTGAAATTTTCTACGGAAGATAAAACTAGGTCTGCTGGCCAATAGACATCTAATATCACTTCATTGCCGCTAGTACCTAAACGTAAAACTTGCAAGAAAAAACTTGTTTGAATTCTCATTCTGCCAACTCTTGCAAGCCCTCCCCCAAAATGGCATTGCAGTGCAGTGTGAAAAGTGGCCTTGTTTCCATAAAACACTTACTGGATTCATTTTCTTCATCTTTTTATGCTTTTTCTGTAATGTGTGTGGTTGGTATCTAATCCATCTGAATGTACTTCCTAAAGTGCTTGCAAATAAAACAGATGTTTTGTCTTCTATGCTGCATTGCAAAAAGAGATATCTTTACTGATTGGGTCATTTATATCTCTTCTTCTCATTTTTTTTCTCAAACTCAGCTTGGAAATCAGAACTTAACTGCCCATGCATTGGAGGTAAATGCTTCCCAGACACACAGTCAAACTACACCGGAAGTCTCTTCTCCATGTCCCCCTTCTGTGGCACCTCATACCCAAACTACTTTTTTATCAGACAGTGGCTCCAGGCCAGCATCCCTTGTCCTGCCAGCAGCAGTACATACACTCTGCGCCCCTTCACAATGTTTATGTAGTCAGCCTTTCCTAGCTCCTGAAAGCCACAGCAATGTTGCAGGGTCTCTCACCACAGACCTCTCCAACTCCAAGAGTGAGTTCTCCACAGTCATTCTAGACAAGCTGCAGATCAGTAACTCTGACACCACTGACCATTCTGAAACACCCTCCCCAACCTTGAGTCAGAGATCTTCTGTGACAGATGTTACCACCCTTAACCACCCCTGCTGCCACTCATGTAATTATCCTCCCTTCCTTTGCCTCTATTGTTTTTTACACAGGACTCCACAGGCCAAAATAACTGATAGCTTATCTACCATCTCACTTTGCAGCTGAGCAATGTATTTACATAGCTACTGATTGGTAAAGCAACTCTATACAGTCTAATAGGAAAATCATTGACAACCATTTGCATAAGCCTACTTAGTGTTGAAAAATTCAATGATATTCTTTTCATTTACTTCAGAATGATATATGTTTACACTGTATTGCTGTAGCAAATGTGATTTACAGTGATTTACTTTAATGAGATGTTACCTCAGAAACTTAAACAAGTATATATCATAATATTATTATGAGTACATTACTGAGAAACCCATTGCATATGGGTTAAATTTTAAATTTTAACCCATATTAACAAATGGTCGATAACAATTTACCTCAGAAACTCATATTAATGAATCCTGTGTGAATAGTTCATATATCCTTGTGTTTCACAGAAATTGTTACTGAATGCATGAGCTAATGTGTCTTGCTCCTCTTTCACTTATAGCTGCATCTTTTAAATCCATCTCTTATAGGAATGAATGATGTAACCAATCAAAATTTTTACTATAGATATTCATCCTTATGGATTTTTGGAAACTATTTTTCCTGAGCCACTCCGGTATAATTTATAAACACATTTATTATTTTATCTATCTCTCTTTCTGTTTACATTTTATAAATAGGTGGTTTCTCATATAAATTATATCATTTAAATATGTTTACATGACAAGTACAGACCCCAGTAAATTATTTATGACTAACAAAAGTGCCTTAAAATTTTATGCTAAACATTTTCAATTGGATAGAATGGATTTATTGGTCATGGCTCTAATATAACAGCATATAACTTTAGGCAAAAACCGGGAATTTACTACTAAAAATGATATATATCATAATGAACTTCCAAACAAGCACTGTCATTGCCAAAGTGTTTTTTAGACTTCTAAAGATAGCCTAAATGATAGTATCTTGTATGTAGGTCATAAATCTGCCACTGCCATATGTGGAGAAATTTTGTATGTGCAAGTTTTACAAGCTGAAACAATTACAGATAAAGAAAGATTCTATTAATTGGACTGGGTTTAGTATTCATCCAATGATTGTTTGCATTAAAACATTCCATCCAGTGGGGATACAGACTTAGCCTTATTTTCCAGAACTATCACCATCAAGAATCCCTCCTGCTACTAACAGGTAGCACAGCCGTTAGTACCAGACACTCACCACTGTGTTCTGGACATTCAATGTCTTTCAGCTTTTAAAAATTTGGGGGATGCTATCGGGGTCTTTAACTAAAAAACAGAGAAAGTGCTAGTATGTAAATTTATGTACCAACCTGTTTAATTTCTGTTTTTTAAGACTGCTCAGGACCCTGGGATTTATATTGTCTTATAAGCACAATCTGAGCTAACTCTATCTGGAATTCATTTCAAGTAACAGTTTCAGTTGCCCTTAGATATTCCATGAGATTTTCTTTTTCTAATAACTAATTCACTATAAAGTGTGTTCTAAAATTCTAAGGATATTGTTTTGTGAGTAAAATCCTGATTGGTTTAACATAAAGAGGAAATCTACTTTCAGCATTTATTTTTTGTAAACACATAATCAGTATTATTGAAATCATTAAATAGGACTCAAAGCAACATTCTTAAGTTTAAAACCAACCAAAAAAGCCAAACCCATTGCTAGAGAGTTGATGCCCACTCACATTGACCGTACAGGACAGGGTAGAACAGAGCTCCCTAGGCTGTAAACTTCATAGAAGCAGGCTGCCACATCTTTCTGCCACAGAGCAGTCTACCTTGCAGTTAGCAGCCAAGCACTTAGTCACTGTGTTACCAAGTCTTTTCAAGTTTAAAACCTTTTACTGTCAAATCATTGCTATGAGTGATCCCAAAGATTTCCATGGTTGAGCTTCAGAAGTGCGTTGCCAGTTCTTTCTTCCAAGGTGCTTCTGGGTAAACTTGAATTTCCACCCTTTCATTTAGCAGCTGAGTATGTTAACCATTTATACCTCCCAGGAACTCCTTTTTATGGTAATAACATAGTAACATGATGGTTCTCAATAAGAAAGAATTTCCCACTTTTAACATTAATTATAATATATTATAGCAATGGTGGAGTCCTGGTGTGGCACTGTGGGTTAATGAGCCAGACTGCAAAGCCATTTGATCTGCAAGGTCGGCTGTTCAAGCTCACCAACTGCTCCTCGGAAACCCTATACAGGGTCGCTGTGGGTCGGAACCTACTTGACGGCACTTCACAACAATAACAACATAACAATAGTACTAAAAATATATTTACAATGATAAACCGAACTTGATTTGGACAAAGAGGCAAAAAATGTTCTCAAATCATTCAGTCATCAAAGTTACATAAGGCCCTGATGCATTTGCACAGGCTTGTGCTTCATGTGTATCTCAATGGCCAGAGTTCCCCAGGTGCAAGAGTCTCAAGATATGACTAGCTATGATAGGAGAGCAATTTCTATAACACCTTAGAGAAGTACTTTAAAAGTACAGTCATTGTACTAAAATGCTTACTGATTTTAGGACAATTGTACTGTGACTATCATGTAATGAAATTAGATTTATTCTATATCATTGGAAAATGTATTTGCTTTACCATGAAACCATGTACATGCATATATACAGTTGATTATCAATTGATGTTTCAGGCCTGGATAAAGGTTTATTTTGCTTTAGGATACTTAGTTGTTGTTGTTGTTAATGTGCCGTGGAGTCGGCTCCGACTCATAGCGACCCTGTACAGGGTTTCCAAGGCTGTAAATCTTTACAGGAGCAGAAAGCCTCATCTTTCTCCCGCGGAACAGCTGGTAGTTTTGAACTGCTGACCTTGCGGTTCGCAGCCCGATTCGTAACCACTACACTACCAGAGCGCCTTAGAGAAGGTCTCAAATAATGGTGCTTTATGTGAATATTTGTGTTTGTGTGTATTTAGCTGTAAAGTCCTTTTAACTGAATGCTTTAACTAATCTTTTTTCTCATTTGCATGCATTATGTAATATCCACAATACCTAGTGTGTATTCTGGATAGATGAGAATGTTCCACAGAAGTGAGCTCAACCTCTATGAATTAATCTGATTCAATTTAATTAGAATATGTGCCTACTAAATATGACTGTGTTTAGCAACAGGTTACAGCTAATAAAAAATGTAAGAGAGGTATATGTATGACCATCTCCAACAAAAAGCTTGAAATACCATGGAGGATATAAAAAACACTAAGCTATAAAACAACCACAGCAATCAATTTATCAGAAACCAACCAGAGGTTCAGAAGGTGCTAAAGGAGATTGGAGTAGGGAGAAGCCAGTGTTTTTGACATGTCTTTCTGATGCTTTCCCCGATATTTGCTTCTTCTAGAATAGGTTGCTTCATGTCCCTGATGTTAGCCACTTTGCTTAGGAATCATATACCCACCAATGATGATCCCTGACTAAGTCTGAAAGCCAACCTCTTCCTGCACATCAAAGAACAGTCATTTGGAATCCAGCATGTGGAGCAGTGTGATAGCACTCTGACTACTTACACCATAATTATAGGAGCAAATTCACCCACCACATTTGTTAGATTCTGAATATATACTGATTCCTCACTCCTACTGACACCATTCAGTATCTCTGTTGGCAGAGCACATTGACCAGCTGCTTCTGCTCTTCCTTGTCACCCCCAGAGCCCTCTGACATATAAAAGGATGTTTAACACTGAGAAAGACATATAAAGAAGATATTGGGGGAAATGATGTCCCTCTAGACATCAATTTTTAAAGTAAATAAAAACTGACACTTCATCACTGTCTTGTTTGAATGGAGTTGTTTCTTGTCATCAAGAGGAAAGTCATCCACATGGGATTAAGTACTTTAATGGGATGCTTTTGCGTTTTTCTCAGAGCCAGATAACAGTGAATGGAAACTCTGCTGGTGCTGTGAGTCCAATGAGTTACTACCAAAGGCCGTTTTCCCCTTCAGCTTACTCTCTACCCAGCTCGTTCAGCTCAAGCATTACCATGCCACATGGACGATCACTTGGTAAGTAATTTGATCATCATGATTTTTATCACCATTTCAATATGGCAACTAGAAACCTCAGGAGGAAAATATAAGTCCTCAAAGTGAGACAGAAGCATTCAATATCCTACTATTTTATGACCCTTGCCTAGGAAAGAAATTAAAAGCAAAGGATTCACCAGTAGAGAAAGCAGGTACGCAGCTATTTCAAGATGATGGTTCCATCTATGGTGAAGCAGAACAGGTCACTAGATGTTTAAAGGGTAGGGGAAAAAGAAGATGGCCCAGTTCAGGAGAACAGAGTTCACACCACCAGATGAATATTAATATAATGCTTTTCATTAATATAATGGGTAAATGCCATCCATGTTTGAGGCAGCCAGGTCTTTGTAGAACTGATGGTAGAAAATTGTTTTGCTAAATATAAGGACGAACTGCTTACCAACTAAAACACTGAAGTAGTCACCTGCTTCACGCTGAATTTATTCAAACAGGCTGATGTGGTAGCAGGAAGTCAAGTAAGACAAACCAGAGTTCCTTTAAATGTTGGTTCTATAATTCATGAGATAGTTCTTAACCCTTTGGAAATTAAAAATTAATGAAAGACATACTTTTTCCCCAGAAAAAATAAAAAGAGAACATATGTACCTTCATATAAAATTCAACCCTGTAATTCCATGGGGTTCATGAATTGTTTGAAGCTTTCTGATAAAGAAGGCATGCTATACCACAGAAAAACATTTTATGTGGTAAAATATATTAGAAAAGTTTGGAAAATAATACATATTTTTTAGTTGTTGTTAAGTGCCATTGAGTTGGTTCTGACTCATAGCAACCCCTACAGAGGGTTTCTGAGGAGTGGCTAGTAAGTTTGAGCAGCCGACCTTGTGGTTCAGTGCTTACCCTACCGCCCCACAAACAGTCCAAATTGAACTATCATCTGAATTCAGGCTAAAATAAAATGTTCGTGTTACTGAGCAACTTGTTACAGGCTTCCAGGCCATCGAAAGCAAGGAAGAAGACTGAGGATGTGTGACTAGACCGCACCTCTCAGAAAGGGAAGGAAGGACCCATTTTCTGACCAACACTACCTGTAACAGACGAACTACCGCACAGAACTTCACACTAATTACCATTCTTATGTTGAGGGCAGGCAGCATCTCTCCTTCTTCTTTCAATGCCCTAATTCAAATATTGAGAGAATATGAGACTCAAAGGACATTTTTATGTCACCATCTGACATACACAGTGTGGAGCTAAGCTTCAGTGGTCAACAAAATCTTCATAACTATAAGATATTAAATATAGCCATTGTTGTTGTTAAGTGCCGTTGAGTCGATTCCAACCCATAGCGACCCTGGATAGGGTTTCTAAGGAGCAGCTGGTGAGCTTCAACCACCGACCTGGCAGTTCAAATGACTTTGTAGTCTGACGCATTAGCCCACAGTGCCACACCAGGATTCCATATATAGCCATGGGACTCATTAAAGACAAGTGTAAATATATACTTGTGCTTTCTCTAAGGCTGCTCCCGGGGATTATTTGTGAATCTTATAATGAAGTCCTTTCAGAGCATAAAAATAGGACTTCCTTGTGCCCACTTTTGCCTTTGAGCAATTAATACATAATAATGTCATATTATAAATGGCAACTCTCTAGGTCTAGATTATGTGAGGTTATGAATGATCACATATATAGAATGAAATGCTGAAGTATTTTAGCCCTAACATTTCACCAAATTATTATCACAGTCTCCTCTTCGTCCCGTTGCCTGTTTGAATGAACACAGACTCCACTATTCTGCCTCATATTCAACAAAAAAATAGCATGTACTATAAACAGGATTTAATTTGAGAACATATTAGTTGGTATATTTTATATATAAAATATAGCACATGAAAAAAAAAAAAAAATTCTACATTAGCACCGGGCCACTTCCGATTCTAATTCCAATTCAGACCAGTGCAGAAACAATAGGTCCTAGAAGACTATACAAGCCTACCCTAACCCTAAGAGAACTTTATATTTAGTTGGGGGAAAAAGATGGCTAAAATAAGAGTCACTGGTGTTGTTGTTGAGTACCGTGGAGTTGGTTCCGACTCATAGCTACCCTGTACAGCGTTTCTGAGGCTGCAAATCTTTACGGGAGCAGAAAGTGTCATCTTTCCCCCATGGAACAACTGGTAGTTTTGAACTGCCGACCTTGAGGTTAGCAGCCCAATTTGTAACCACTATGCTACCAGAGCTCCTTAGACCATATACAATAATAAAACAATTATTATTATATTACTTGTATTACTTAAGCGATAGGTTTATAGAATATATTGAGCCATACATACATAGAGATAGAGTTGATACTATTCACTTTAGCTAAGACTGTACATAATAACCTCCCCCTTTCCCCAAAAAATATACCGCACTTCCATAGATTGTATATGACTCATAATGACCCTCTATTTCTGTGAAATGGCAGTTCAAGCTCACCAACTGCTCCTTGGAAGCCCTATGAAGGTTTACTATGGATCAGCACTTAACAACAACAACAACATCTGAGTTTATATGTATATAGAGAGAGGAGTCCTGGTGTGGTGCTGTGGAATAAAGCACAGACCTCAAGATCCATTTGAACCACAAGGTTGGCAGTTCAAACTCACCAGTCACTCTTTGGAAACCATATACAGGGTCGCTATGAGTCAGAATTGACTTGATGGCACTTAAAAGAGAGAGAGTCATGGTAGTGTGACGCTGTAGGATAAATAAGCACTGGACTTGATAAGCAAGGTCAGTGTTTCAAACCCACCAGCTGCTCTCTGAAACCCTCCCTATGCAGGGTCACTATAAGTTGGAACTGACTCGACAGTGCC